GTTTCAAAAAAACTTATTTACTCGTACACGAATCCAGTCTATATCTTTTATTAAATTGAACTAGACTACTACTGAAATTTTTAAAAATAATAGTCGTTCTCAAGACTTCACATTTTAAGCAATAACTCAACAACGCCGTAACCGAATTTCAAAAACCAAACATGAAATGATATCAGAATTTAACGTAGCATCTGAATATGTAATGATATATAGGGCGTTCTATTTTAAAAAATGGAATTTTGGTCTCTAGCAGCTACACCAAACACCCTGTATACCTAAAAATTATATCAAAATATAGCTCTCATGAACTCCTAAAACTTTTGTATGAAACATTTTTGTGTATCTCCTTCAACAAAGCAGATATTGCCTGTCACATAAAATGTGGGACACCCGGTATATAAGGTGCAAAAACAAAATAACTAGCACAAATCAGTCCTCATTTATTGCTCTTGCAATAACCATCATTAGTAACCCTTTATACCAAAAACACCTTCCGGTTCTGGTGAAGGTGTTTTTAGTCACAGACCCAGGACAGAGATATGTGTCTACGAACTTATGCGACTGTATTTCAAGCAGAAATTTACGCTATTGAATTGTGTGCAGAGAAATTGGATAAATCCAACCTCACACATAAGTAACGAATTGCTAAAAACACCTCTCCTCGATAGGACGACTTGAAAAAATTGTCTCCGGTCTGGATTCCTGGCCATACTGGCCTGGAAGGCAATGAAGCTGCTGACTTCCTTGCAAAGGAGGGTGCTGCAAGCAGCTTCATCTGACCAGAACCTGTCATTGTCATTGCTTTAGGCTTTGCCAAACAAACATTAAACACGTGGATGACAAGAAGATTTAAAGACTTCTGGCAGAAGCTTCCAGAATTGGCTCACTCCAAGGCGCTTATTCACACTCCAAAGCTTGATACCAAACAGTTGTTGGACTACAGTTGGAATGAACTACGATGTCTTACATACCTTCCTACAGGCCACTGTCACTTGAATCATCATATGCAGAGACTTGGACTGTCAGAATACAGTGTGTGTCGAAAAATAATGAAAGAGCAGAGCATATACTTTGTACCTGCCCCGGTAGGGACTGAATCAGGTTCTTAGAGTTCAGCAGAGCCGTACTCTCACCATCTAACCTGAAATTTCACTCACCATACAAACTAATTGGCTTCGTTAAGAAGCTAGGTTTATTTGGCCGACTGTGAATAGGTGTGAGCCACAATAAACCCTTATGGGTTGCGATGGAGGGTCCAGTAGACCCACTCACTTCAGACTTAACCTAACCTACCCTTTATAATTAAACAGTTATTGACTGCAAATGAAATTTTATTGAAAACGGAACTATTAACTTTCCCCGGATTCCCGAGTAAAACAGATACAGTACTCGAGCAAAGTGAATACACACATTTTAATGTCTGAAACCGTGAGTAACAAATTTAATGAAGTGAAATAAACGTATCATCTTCTTCAATGTATATTTCGCCACAAAAAAGCATAATATACACTTAATTTCTTTGATTTTCTATGGCTGTTTAGCATTTTTCCTTTTTTTTTTCTTGTATGTTTTTCATCAGTCTTAGTGATAGCTTTCGCAATCTTCTTAGGAAAGTTTTTTTTATTTATCATCCAGTCTTTCAGTAAAGTTTGTGTTTTTCTCTTAAATTTCTGCTTTTTTGATGGGTGTACTGGTTATTATTTCCGATTTCTGTAATTTCCTTTCACGAGTTGTGATTGGTTTGGAAGAATTTGGTATAGGTCTCAAAATAAAATGACTGCAGTGAGAAGTTGAGCATCCAGGTTTGACATCCAGTGAAATGCTCTCATCTCACTGGATGCTGAGCATTTCCATCAGTACTGAAAGTTTCGTCGTTCCACCTCGAATATTACGGAAGATACGGGGGTGTTTTCAAAAGAAGTGAGACAAATTCGGATTTTTCAGGACTTAAATTTCATCAGGAAAAAATTGTATTCGTAGTAGGTTGGCAGTTCTGATCACGAAACTGAAGGAATTTTGAGCCTATTTTGCCCCCTAATAAGTTTTACCGTAAAAATAGGGTGTTCCATCGCGAGTGGCGGACAGTGAATATTACTTTACCCAACCCCATCCAGTGGTAGGTGAATTTTGAGCATTTTCATCAGTCCTGAGAGTTTCATCGTTCTACTTCGAATATTACGGAAGATACGGTGGTGTTTCCATGAAAAGTGAGACACACTGTAGAATATTTATTTATAGTTTTGATATGAAATACTGAAAAAAATAACATCGATTGTCATATTCGATTATGAAAATGAAAAAAAAATCTATGCTCAGAAAAGTATTCAGCTTGTTGATATTAATTGTATATTTATATTCACACGATGAAAAAATGATAGGATCGTATCAAAACATCAACAGAAAAAATCATATATCTACAAAATTCACTATCCAAAATTTCATTGAATAGCCAGCCCACAATAGCAACTTTTTTATGTACGGAATACCGTGTTCAGTTTCATTTTTTCGATTTCTGTCGAAACAATGTGTGTGTGTATGAATGGATATTTTTATAAATATTTATCAGCAGCTTGAGTAATTACGTCAAATAATTTCGTCTGGTTGAATAAATAGTCGGTGAGATAGTTTCATAGTTTCGAGTGGGTACATCATTCTGATTAACTATTTCTGCAACACGGAATTTCGCACTGATAGTTTGTTTTCATCCAATGTCACTAATATGACTATATAAGAAACGACATGTCGTTTTGTGTTGGTATTGTCTCGCAAAGTTTTTTTTTATTTTCTATAAGGTACCTAAGTCTATGAACTTTACAGAAAATATGAAGTAACTTTTCGATGAAATAGTACTTCGCATACTCAGAAGTTACATCGGTTGTAATCGTTTCATGGAGTTGTCTCTAGTTTAACTAAAATCAATAAATCAATCACAACAACAGAACTGATGAGTCTAACAGTTGTTTCAGATATTGAAGTTGTCAATATGTCCTCCTTCAAGCTCTATACATTTTTCATAACGTAGTCCGAAATTCTGTTGGAGCTTCCTCAATTGGCCTGGTGTTATTTCACCACACTTTTGCATTTTCCTACCCTTCGAATTCGTTCAAATTCCGTAGTGACTTCCTATAAACAATTTCTTTCAAATATTCTCACAGAAAAAATATTATGGAGGCAGATGTAGTCATTGAGGGGGATAACAAATAAAAGGGCTCTTCCTTCCAATCCAGCTTCCTTGAAATTTCTCATCAAAATATTGAATAGAGTTACCGGCTAGCTGGAATATAACATTTCTGCGTTCTTCAAATCTCAGTTCTTCCATGAAATCCAAGAATTTCTTTGTCAAAAAATTATAAAATCCTCCACCATTCAGTGTGTTTTCAAAAAACACTGGACCTATTATACGGTTTTTGAATATTCCTACCCATACATTGTTTTTTGTGAATATTGTCTTTTTGCATTTGTCATACAGTGTGGATTCTTCCTTGTCCAGTACCTGGAATTCTGAGTAGACACTGTACCATTAGTGGTAAATGTCGCCTAATCGATGAGAGGAATATCGCCCAGAGAGTTACAATTATTCAAATAGTCACCTTAACAGAATAAACAGAATTCCAACCTTTGTTCCTCATCGCCTTTTTCTATCGTGTGCCTAATTTTTGGTTTGAGAAAATATCTCTACCTATTTGTACGTATTTTAGATATACTAACGTGTGAATCTCGTAAAATCTGCCACAAGCTATTTTCCGGGTTTTCTAGAATATACTCTGAAATTAGTTCGTCTATGTCTATAAATATAGACATAGACATGTGTTTCATTTACTCTAATGGTTCCAAAAAAAAACGTATTGATCCTGGAGTCGGTTGTACGGTGAATTATTTCACGATCTGGATGCCTTCTGTGGAATTTCTTCCGCCGCCCTCGTTGATCGAGCATTATCACCAACGCATAATCTCAATTCTCTCAACTAAGTTGATATTTACCATTTTGAAAACTCTCAAAACCTTTTTATAACTCTCTTCACCAAACACTCGAGGAAAGCGTTTGAGGAAACCTAACTGTCAAAATTATAACAACGAAAAAAGAAACAACTTAATTTCAAACGCTGCCATGAAAAACAGTGCCTGGTTTATTGATCTATCATATGAACATGCAGTATGAAATGAAATCATTGTAATTTTGCCAAAATCTGTCAGTGTTGAGACAAATGTTCAAAAAAAGCATATTGAGGGGTATTTTTATAATATTTGATTGACTATTTATTATACCAAAAAATCAAACGATATGGATAAAACATTTTCAACTTTTGATTTATGGTTGAACTAGCAATATCTATCTGTACCTGTAACGACGATGAAACTCAGTATTTGAATATTTCATGTGTTTCTCATTCTAACGGCTAGTCCACCTTTCCTTCGAAGTGTACAGTTTGTTAAACAGGGTCAGTGGAAAAGTCTTGAATTTGGGAATTTGTCATAATATAACTAACGCACTGTATGAGATATTGGGCTGAAACTTGGTAATAGGGGCTTGAAATATGCCCTATTGGAATGGACTATCCACTTTTCTGATAAAAACTTCAAGAAATTTCGGCCAATTGAATAGGTCATAGTACCCCCGGAAAATTAAAAAATCCGTATATATCAACAACTTTGAATAGAGCTTATTGAGAACAATGATTCAATATTTGATTTTTCAAAATCGGTTCATGTGTTCCAAAATAACAGGATGTTGCGGTTTGAAATCGCACACACTTTATATACTTCTGTACTCACTAATATCTACGTTTCCACGTCTTCCAACTCAAAGCATCATTTGTTTTCGAGCCATGCCTTATGGCAGTGATAATATCACATTAAACCTCATATTGTGAGAATCAAACTGAACAATTTTACGAAAACACGAGTGTTTTACTATACAATAGCCTTTTTACTTCTTCAGGCATGTGAAAATACAACTGAAGAAACAATAGGATTCCATAAATAACTAGTGATTCAAGGAATATTCTGAACCCAAATTTTATTCGATATTGAATGTGGGACAATCAGTAAATAAATATAATAAATATTCTATCAATAAAATTGGCAATCAAATCAATATATATGTCATGATATCAATCCAGAGTTAACTTTCTGAAAGATCCTTCGACTCCAAACTGCTCATTTCGTTCAATATCATTTTCTTCAAGAATCTGGCATTTAGCACCAAGAAGTTTTTTGAATTCATCCTCATTTTTCTCTACCTCCTGGCACCAGTCCTCTGAAAATTATGAAATTATTGAATTGATGACAATCCCAAACTTCTTATGAAGATCAGAACAGAATTTTTTATTGATAATTTTATGGATGTCAACATTATGTAGTAGAATTAGGTAGGTTGATATATCATTGTAACCGAAAAAGCAAAATACTGATTTTTAGTGCGTTATTTTTGATATATTTCTTTGGTTCACTAGAGCTGTACACAACATTTGAACGTTTTCATTTCCAGAAAATTAGGTGAGGACACGATTGAAACTCCGGAAGAGTAGCAGCACAGTGGATCGCATACCAGCAATAAGTTCCAACTTTAATTCTGTTTGAATCTGTTTAAATCTGTTTTTCCATTAACCAGCTGTCGCACCCCTACGAACGACAACCCTCAAAAGTCGAAACTTGTGCGAGCTGAGGATTAACGAGGTCTTACCTTTCAATGTGTGATTCCTAACACGGGTTGGACGATAGCAAGTGAAGATCGATCGTTCAGACTAGGGCTTGAACCGCCGACCAAGACGGCAGTCAATTCGAGTGAGTGAATAAAGCACTCACGCCGAACCGCTTGGCTACCGAATTGCAGATCATCATTAAAATTGATGTAATGCCTACCAGCGTGGTCCAAATAGAACTGGCTGGTATCTCAATCGCCACAAAAAAAAATAACCAGGAAAGGAATTTCTGGCAAAAACATAACAATCTGCATTGATAGCAGACAAGTCCTATTAGCCCTGAACAGACAACGTGTTACCTCAGGGCTAGCACTAGATTTAGCCAAAGCCTCGGTAGATAATAGCATTATCCTGAGGTGAGTTGAAGGGCACGACAGGAGTAAAAGTAATTGCATTGCCGACTCTTTAGCCAAGGAAGCGGCTGGACTGAGAATTTTAGGACCCAGTGGCTCCTACAGCCTGATGACGTCGACTATTGCGGAACTAGCCAAATGTTACATCCATGATCAATCCCTAAAAAAGATGGGATGAAATCAAAGGATGTTGGTATTCGACTCTGGTTTAGAATTATTATTAGTGAACGTCGCTTGGTTTCTCTTAATTGGATCATTCGACCTTGTTTGTGTTCCTTCAAGGCAAGTAGCCTTATATTATTATTGTTAATTGTCTCTTCTTCTCAATTGAAATCAACCCTGTGTGTTCAAATTTTTATTGCTTTCCCATATACTCTTGAATAGTGACTTTGAGTTCCATCAAGTATTACTGAGATAACGTTAATGCTTTGTTGAGAGCATGTTCGGCTACAACTGATATGTCGGTTTGTCCAAGTAGACGATTTATCTTGTTTTGGTTGAGGCGGGTACCTACACTCCTCTTTTTAGTTTCAATGTAGACCAACACGCAGCTACTAGGAGTTTGGTATACCCCGAGTGTTAGGTTAAGTTAGGTTAGGTCAAAAGTGAGGGAGTCTATTCGATGTCCACCGCAACCCGCAAATATTTATTGTGGATCACACCTACGTTTACTCGTCCAAATAAACCCAGCATCCCAACAAATCCGATTAGTCTGTATGGTGAGTGGTTTCTCAGATCAGATGGTGAGAGTATGTATGGCTCTGCCAAACTCTGAAAAGCTGATTCGGTCCCCAGTGAGGTAGGCACAAAGTATGTGCTCTGCCGTTCCATCATTTTCCAAAGAGTGGCGACACACACTGTCTTCAGACAGTCCGAGTCTCTGCATATGATGCTTCAAATGACAGTGACCTGTGAGAAGGACTGTTAGACATCGTAGTTCATGCCTACTATAGTCCAACAACTCTTTGGTATCAAGAATCGAAAGGTGATTGAACACCTTGCAGTGAGCCAATCCTGGCAGATTCGGCCAGAAGTCTATTAATCTTCTTGCCATCCAGATGTTCAATGTTTGTGTGGCAAGAGAGTCAGCAGCCTCATTGCCTTCCAGGCCAGTTTGACCAGAAATCCAGACCAGAGACAATATGTCAAGTCTTTCGATCGAGGAGAGTCACTTTCGGCAATTTGCTACCAATTCAGCCGTTGTTCGGTAGAAGTCAAGAGCTTTCAACGCAGCTTGACTGTCCGAGAATAGTTTCATTGACTTGTGTATGAGGTTGGATTCTACCACTCTCTCCGCACACAATTCTTTAACGTGAATTTCCGCTTGAAATACAGTCGCTTGGGTCCCTAGGCAGGTTGATACCTCTGTCTTGGGTCTGCGAATGAAAAAACCTGCACTAGAACCTGAAGGTGTGTTTGATCCATCTGTGAACTAACAAATATCTGCTACGAGTATTGTTGAAAGTTTTCCGGGGTCCCTAGCTGACTTTAGACTTTGTATGGTAGTTTTTGTTGGCCTTAATATTGGTTTCACGTCGTGTTTTTTAAGATTATTAAAATCCTGCCTGTATGATTTTTAACAGAGGGAAAAAAAACTTTTTCCATGACTAGCCCAGCAGGGGATATTCTGGTGTTCTCTCTGCTGGGTCGTATGGCCCGCCGGCCATACGACCCAAAATTCCTTCATGTGAAAGTATTTTTCAGGTGACTGAGTCCTTCAGGAAAACTCTCAACTAACGTTTTGATTACTCCTCTACTCTGTTGTGGCTGGTAGTTTTCATCTAACCTCTGAAGGGTATGCAATTCGGTTCATCGCGCCTTTTCATAGGTATAAATCATGGAGTGAGGCATGAATATGTAATGCAACCGTGCCAACTGTGAAGCTCTACTCAAAAATGCATGATTTGATGAAATAACCAGTCCAATACTTGGAGTAGAATCTCAACAAAGTTTTTCATGCTGTGATGAAGACCGCTCTGTAACTGGGCTGGAGTCCAATGAATCAGAATATTTGAGTTGATGATAAGCATGAATCTATCTAAAATAAATCTCAATCGAAGAAAATACTTACCATGCAGCTGCTCGATGGAAGCTTGGTCACCTCCATAGTTTGATGGAAGATACTCTTTTGGGATGAAATCATATAGGGATTCAAAATCTGTATGAGAACGGACCTGTAATGTAATTTTTGAAATTATGTCGATGACTGCGAATTTACTCAGAGAACGAATAGTAATGATAAGAATATATATCCACGTTGCTAATGATAGCGTAATTATACAGGGTGTAACTGAATAAGTGTAAAACATTTAAGGAGGTGATTCCTCATCAAAAAAAAGAATCTTTCATATAAAGAAACTTCATTGGAGCATCCCTTGTTGAGATACAGCCCCTTTAAGGGGGTACATAAAATTTGTATAACAATTTTTTTCACAAGCACTGAAGAAGTTACAATATTGAAATCAACCTGACGTTTCGTACTACCAAAAAGACACTCAGCCAGTAATTCATTTGGTTTGCCCTATGGTTGTAAGGGGTGGAAAACGCAACCCGTAAAATTTATTTCCAATGTAACTTTTTGTCTTATTATTTGTTTACCATTTAAAAATTCATTTCCGATAGCCTGTTTCATTCTTAACGAAAAGTGTCTCTCGGGTTTTTTGCCCAAGATAAACCAGTTCGCAGCATAAAATTATTTTAAAGAAACAACTACAGGGATACATCGTCATAAATGCGAACTGGATTTATGGTTATTTTGTAGTTAGTACCTACATTAAAAGATTGAAGGGTAATAAACAAAACTAATTTATTAATAACAAAACACACAACATGTAGAAATCATAGTAAATGTCCAATATGTCTACCTTCTGACATTACGCATGCGTCTAGACGTCGGCGCATTGTGCCACGTATTCGCTCAAATACTCCTGGAGTTTCTCTGATTACACTGCACGCATCGATGATGCGGTTTCTTAAGTCCTCTACATCGCGAACAGGAGTACGATGAACCAAATGCTGTAAATGGCCCCAAATAGAAAAATCGAGAGGATTGAGATCCGGGGATCGAGCGGGCCAGTTCTGTTGTCCTCCTCGACCTATCCACTGATTTTCATATGTTTCAGCTAAATGCTGACGTGCTACTTGACTAAAATGGGCAGGAGCTCCATCATGCATAAAAACATAACCCTTCTGACGCCCAAAGGAGATTCCTCCAGCAGTACTGGATGCACTTTTCTTAAAAATTGAACGTATGCCTCACTATTCAATCGAAAAGGTAGAAAATGAGGCCCAATTAAATCATCCCCAATAACTCTGAGCCACAGGTTAGGAGAAAACTGTCCTTGATGGTTGGTTTCGACAATATCGTGAGGGTTCCCGAGAAAAACTACATTCGTCTGTGAATTCTATCGTCTTTAGAAAGTCACAATTTCTTCTAATCATTCCCAGCATCCAATTGCGAAATTCAAGACGGTTCGGAAAGTATGAAGGTAACAGTGCTTGTACTCGTTGCAGATGGTAAGGTTATAAGGATTATTCTTTTTAAATTCGAAATACCGTCATATGATCAACATTTAGCTGGAAAGCAATCTTTCTAGTACTGGTAGTAGGTTGTTCTTCAATCAAATTAAGTACTGCTTTCTCAAGCTGTGGTGTTCGTACTTCTCGATGGCGACCACAATTCTGCGTTCTTTTGTCGAATGGACTATATTGTCGTAATCGCTGATGAAGTCAAACAAATATTCTATGTGAAGGATGCTGCCGTTGAGGATACATTTCACATTTCGTCTAGAAGCTTCTAACCCATTCCCCTGCGACAGACCGTAAACGTAATGCATATCAGCCATTTCCTCATTTGGGTATGTCATTTCAATAACAAGTGAATTATTAAAGTAACAAATTAGGATCAGAACATCAACACACAATTAGTGATAATTCAATTTCGAAAAATCACAAACTGATAGCATCATACCAATTTAATTGTCACTATCGCTAATAGCGCCCTAGTAGATAGATTATTTTCGTATTTTCGCATTCATGACGATGTATCTCTGTAGTTGTTCGTAAAATAATTTTTTGCTGCGAACTGATTTATTTTGGGCGAAAAACCCAAGAGACATTTTTTGTTCAGAATGAAACAGGCTATCGAAAATAAATTTTCGAATGGTTAACAAATGATAAGACAGAAAGTTACATTGGAAATAAATTTTAGGGGTTGCGTTTTCCACCCCTTACAACCATGGGGTAAACCAAATAAATTTCTGTCTAAGTGTCTTTTTGGTAGTACAAAACGTCAGGTTAATTCCAATGTTGTAATTTTTTTAATGCTTGTGAAAAAATTGTTTTACACATTTTGTGTACCCCCTTCAAGGAGCTGTATCTTAACAAAGGATGCTTCAATGAAATTTCTTTATACGGAAGATCCTATCTTGTTTCCGATGAGGAATCACCTCCTTGAATATTTCACACTTATTAAGTTACACCCTGTATACATTTTTGCAGCATTTAAGGAACACTTAAGTAATTTATGCGGTTGAAGGAGCATAAAAAATTACAAGGAAATATAAGGAATATAAACAATGTCGACCATGATTGTCAAACATGAATAAATGAATTGTTTAGATCTTTTTTTTATAATGATGGCAAATATTCAACCATTATATTGAACTATTTGCTTTGAATCGTCACGTCTTTTTTACTACATTGTGTATGGAAATTCTAAAATTGTTTTTCATTCTCACATAATTTCCATTCACAATATGAATATGTTTTTTTACGTTTAGTAGTTCAATTTCATTCATCCGAACTGTTAGACATTTCCACTTTCTTTTGTTCATGAAAAACCGCTGTATTGGTTGAAACTGGATAAAAAGAAGCCAACACTTATTTGTTCTTACCTTTTCGAAGAATTTTGAAGGCAGAATCATTTTCAGCATGATCATAATTTTATCCAAAAAAGGCGGCAAGTTCACCAAATGAATATTTTTCAGTCTCAAGTTGATAGCGAGCTGAAAGAAAGGAGGAATTTCAAAATACATCTATTTATTAATCATTGAACTAGTTTCGTTACAGCATAAATGATAGAAGTCGTATATTTGCGATGAAAAATGTAGCCGTTAGTTGATATGACTAACATCGATTTGGAAAATCAAAATTATTTGCACCAACGGTAGTATGGGTAGTACATAAGGCACAATGAAAGATAGACCATGAATCAAATGGAATGAAAATGTAAAAAGGATAACAAAGAAAGTCATTCTTAATGTTCATCATTCAGAAGGGCAAGAAAACTTTCAGTGAAATGAAAAATCAAGGAAAACTATATAGTGTTGGGAAAGGAAGTTTTTGACTTTCTACTACTCCATCTTGATACAAAATAATGTGGGAATCATCCAAACTATATAGTCTGAGAAAATTCAGTGTGTGGTTTAAGATGAAGTTCAGTTATTTGGATTAAAACAGTAAAAAAATTATAAGGCAGTTTGTCATCAATATCAATAAAGTATGCTCTGTATATTATGCGATATGAATTTCGTAAAAAACATACTTCATCCAATCAATGTTTGTTTGAAGGTGATTGACAATGTTTCATGATGAATTTCACTAGTTCGGACTTCCATTGTCTACTATATAAATTGATTTGAAATCCCTGAAACAACTAAAAAAGAAGAATTAAAAATGAATAGCTGAAAATAACAATTATATTAAGCAAAATGAACCTGAAATGAAATAATAGTGAAATAAGATACAAGTGAAAATAGTACAATTGAATGAATGAAAAAATAAAGAAATGAAAAAAGAAAATAAAAATAAAAAGTGGAGAGATTCCAAGTCACGTTAGTTCATGACGTTTCGATTGTTAGTATATACAATCGTCGGGTGGTGACTTCATTCAATTGTTCTATTTTTACTTGTATTTTATTTCATTATTATTTCATTTCAGGTTCATTTTGCCTAATATAATTGTTATTTTCAGCTATTTGTTTTCAATTCTTCTCTTTTAGTTGTTTCAGGGATTTCAAATCATTTTATATAGTAGACAATGGTAGTCCGAACTAGTGAAATTCATCCAATCAAGCTATCTCAAAAACATACCTACACCAGCAACCTTGATGGTTGAGTTCCACTATTTTCATGAATGTGGGAAACTTTTGAAGAAAGAAAGAAAGCAATTGGGTTCAAAATTAACTCTTCACCAAAATGTGTGTTTCACGCACAGAAATTTCAACTAACAAATTGAGAAAATACTCATTCAAAACTATCATTTCCAATTATATGTAAATTGAATTACATGCAAATTACTTTTCTTTATTCTGTTCGTACTTCAAGTCATAAACTTGTGCAAGGAATATGAGTGGTTTCGTTCACAAAATTTCAAAGAGGTGCTGTTTAGTTGCTCTGAAGACGAGTGTTCTTGATCAAAAACTTTGGGAGTATAAACTGAAGAGGAAAAAAAAGGTATCATCCATGTGTGAAAATATTTATATGTGTGTAATTGTTCCAAATGGGCTCAATATTGAAGGAATTTTGTTTGTGAACAACACTACTGTGCATGATCTACACATTGTTGTGAAAAGTTTTCGAAGAACCCATCGCTACTCTCCATTCTTGGGAAGTTTTTCACATTTTTGAAAGAAGGTGAAGAAATAGAAGCACATGAAGTTTTCTTCAAAAACAAATCCCCTTTTCAATTTGAATGAAGGAATGATGCATGAGGAGGATGAACCGGACATTGGAGGATTGATCGATTTGAGTAATTGTCAGACAACAAGGAGGATTAGTGAAAAAAAAATGGAAAATAAATCTTTGTTGGTGACTGAACTAGGTGAGTATATGAACCCCGTGCTGATTTCATCCTCAGGAGAGGATGGAGCGAAAATGTTCTGATTGAGCTGTGAAAGAACAAAAACTCAAAAACAAGCTTGAACCAGCCCCTTATATAATATTATCTTTAGAATCAAGTAAGGTATAATGATGGCAAATCAGGAAAATTGGAAATTGATTGTTGGGTAAAGATCCCAAATAAAGAACTCGATCGTATCCGACAGAACAGTGGAATTTTTTGAACCACTGATACTACTCTGCAGGATTCTCATCGGACGGAAGTCCAAACATATTGGATAACTTCTTTCCTACATCTCACTGTTGCCTCCATCCTTCGCGCTCAGAAAAACTCAAGTATATAACTGTAGTACCTCCGGCGATATGAGTCATGATACCTCTGAAAATAATGCTCAGTTATGCTTTCGATGAAATGAAAACTCCATCAGTCCAGTTTGAAAATCACACGCATTTTATCGATATGGAATCCAGGAGAGACAAATGTTCATTTTAGAAAAGGATATCACTCCACTTTTGCAGCTGCAGAAAGATGTTGATGTCTCAAATTTAATAAAAGCTTGGGCCCCACCATTACCAGGTCTTTCTTTTTACGAGTAACCTCAAGTCGGAATCTGTGGGGTTAACCATGGTCTGCCAGGACGAATACCTGCCACAAGGCACCTGATGCCCCTATATGTTTGCTTTCAGCATATCCAGTACAGAAAGTCCCAATCTATACTGATCATCATACCCTAAGAGAGCATTGTCACCACCTCTGGCACTCTTATGGTATGGATGAGTCTCCGGACTTGCCGTATGCCCAGAGGATATTGAAACTGTTATACGGAGGGAGACGTGCTAATATGATTTAATGAGTTTAATTTGTCGATCATATACTCTACAGACTCTACCAAAACCTCCCTGTGAATTTAGTTCAGGAACGAGTCTACAGAGGAGATGGATGTCGAGTTTACGACTCCAACCGACCTCCCTGTAAATTTAATTCAGGAGCGAGTCTCCAGAGGAGATGGATGTCGAGTTTACAACTCCAACGGACCTCCCTGTAAATTTACTTCAGAAGCGAGTCTACAGAGGAGATGGTTGTCGAGTTTACGACTCCAACTGACCTCCCGGTAAATTTAATTCAGGAGCGAATCTCCAGAGGAGATGGATGTCGAGTTTACGACTCCAACGGGCCTCCCTGTAAATTTAGTTCAGGAGCGAATCTCCAGAGGAGATGAATGTCGGGTTTACCACTCCAACGGACCTCCCTGTGAATTTAGTTCAGGAGCGAGTCTACAGAGAAGATGGTTGTCGAGTTTACGACTCCAACTAACCTCCCTGTAAATTTAATTCAGGAGCGAATCTCCAGAGGATATGGATGTCGAGTTTACGACTCCAACGGGCCTCCCTGTATGTTTAGTTCAGGAGCGAGTCTACAGAGGAGATGAATATTGAGTTTGCGACTACAACTGACCCCACGCGCAATCTATGATTTTTGTGGGTAACTAGTTTATTCTACACCAACATTGTATGTGACTTTTGTAATATGTATTTGTATATTTTTTCAGTTTGAATAAACTTCATTATTCAGGCAGAACTAGATTGAAATTATTGGGTCCATTGGCGTGCAAATTTAAAGTTTTTTAAATTGAGCAACTGAAAACACAACTTTTCTGCGCATGTGTATTCTTCATATCCAGCTTTATTTTCAAAAAAAAATCAATTCTACGAACTATCCATGGACAACATAAAATAAATACCAAAAATAAATAATGAACAATCTCGACTTTGAAGTGAAATACACCAGTGAAATATACATTCTGATGAAATACAGGACTGCAATCGATTCGTCATTGATTGTCTGGCACGTTCACAAACACATGGAGTATTCCTTATGATAATGCAATTGTCAATTATTCGATTCCTCAAGTCATTCACATCTAGAACGGTAGTTTAATGAACGAGAGAGAGCCTTCTGATGACTCCATGAATAGAAATCTGTAGGATTCATATCAGGACTGCGAGTTAGTCCAGCGAGCTTGGGGTCCTGCACGTCCAATCCAGCGATTAGAGTAGGTGACGTCGAGATGCTGATGGGCAAGAACACTAAAATGAGCTGCAGCCCCGTCGTGCATGAACCACATGTTGCCTCTATGGGTAAATGAACCCGCGAAAAGTTCATGTGGGATTCAACTGTTAATCTTGCAGGTAAAAAAATGGGTCAATTAGGTAGTCACGATTCATTCTCACCCAAACGTTCGGCGAAAATTGATGCTGGAAACGACTTTCTCTAATAACGTAGTAATTTTCGTCAACCCGAAAATGGTCATTGTAAAAGTTCATAATAGCATCTTGTGAAAAATTTGCTTCGTCAGTAAATGAAATATTTGGAATAAAATTATTATTGTGGGCCATCGTGTGAATCAACCATCTGCAAAGCATTACTTTTGGGTGGTAATCTCAAGGCAGTAGACCTTGGACCCGCTGTATGTGATATGGGCATGGAAGGTTTTTTGTCAGAACTATCCATATGGTTTGTTGGCTGACTTTCAGCTGCAGTGCAATTTTTCTAGTACTATTCGAAAGATTTTTTTCCATTGCATCAAGTATAGCTTCTTCTAGTTTAGGCGTTGTTACAGTTTCTTATCTTCCATCATCTGCATTTTTATTTAAACTCCCACTTTCACATCATATTGCATGTAGCGTTCCAAATGTTTTAGCACATGGAATTACTCTGTTAAGATATCTGTCCTGGTGAATTCTCTGTGCTTCTTCCGCATTTCCATTTGCTAATCCATAAATGATGTACAAGCCAGTCATTTCAGCGTCTGTTAAATTATTCATGATGGAATCTCTGCTGAACGACAACCCATACTTCCACTTATATGACAACACTTTCACTGTAAGCTTGTCTCCAAAGCAGGTGTCCATGATATGCAGAGCGGCTTCAATTTTTTTCTCGAAAATGAAGCTATATATGGACACAAGCAACAAAGAAGTTGTATTTTTGGTTAATTAATATGAAATGAATGAAAAATAATCTCATTTTAATCGTTCTGAGAATATTTATGATATTCCATAAACTTCAACGCCCTGTATATCGGAAATATAGCAAATCCGGACAAATGAATATAAAAACTTTTTTTTTTGAAACGACCTAACGACTCACCCTGTGAATTTTCCAACCGTAGTTAGGAAACACCATGTATAATTATCTCACTCATCAAAGATTACTCAACTCACGTGTAGGGAGGGGTTTTTTGATGTTGCTGAGCCCGATCAGCGCAGCCTTTCAAATTGGAAAAATAAAAATTATGTAATCTTGTGGGTTTGCTCGTTTTTCATTTTGGTGGAATGTTTCCGAAGGAATGATATGAGTTTTTGATGAGCTGAATTCGAAACTCCAATCAAAGTTGAAAAGTAGATTGTAATGAATCATATTCAACCGATAATATCAGTGAACTAATGGAAATGTTCCAATGTTCGAAATGGTGAATAATTCAATGATTCGTAATGTTTTTCTCTTACCATTAGATCAACCAATGTTTTGGTAACAGTAGGAGTGAATTTCATCAAATTATGCAGGTGGAAACCTTGAAGGTCTATAATAAGAATATTCGAACAGAAAAATTCTTTGTTTCGAATTCTCAGTTCCACTTGCATGATTGCCGCTATTGCATATAATAGACCATCACTAGCCTTTCCGCCTGGATCGTCCATTCTGAATACTGTTATCCTACAGAGGTCTGGGGATAGTCGTGGCATAACAGCGACTTTCCTGGAAAAAATTGTAATTCACTGATTCACGAGATTTGTTCATAAAGTAATGGTGGAAGTTATTTTGTGACCTTGGGAGAAAAACTTCGAATCAGTGGCTGAAGTGTGAGGGATTGACCAATGTATGTTTAACCCATTAACGGCCAAGACATTACAAATTTGTGATTTAAAAAAAATATTCATTGTGGCACGATTAGAATACTCAAAAAAAGAACAATTCGTCATTAAAAAAATATAAACTCACAGTATTGAGAAAAACAAGTGGGTGCGTAAGCGCACCTTTGGCCAAAACTGGTTCAAATAATCGAATGAAAAAAAAATATAGAGTAGGTCTCCTATTTCTTCATATGATACTTTTCGAAACAATCTGGGTGCACATGCACTTTGCATTTCCTACATAAATATATGGTGTTACTTTTACAAAATCAACATTTTTTTCTGGCACTGTTGGTATGTCTGGCACTGGTATGTTGGATTTAGATGGTCTTCCGTATAATGGGTTGGATTCAGCACCATTCGAGGTTTCATTGGTATTACTTGATTGCCCACTACATTTTAGTAGACTTATAAGCAGTTGAGAACGAAACTTCAATTGTGATATTCTGGATTCATTCGCAATTCTATAAATTTTCCAACTATTCACAACCATACTGTCGATCATATTAGTGAACGATGGTCACCACCACTATTTTCCTCTTATCCTAATTCGATAGTTGGCAATGTCATTGTCATGAAGGTGTACTCCTCCCATATATTTATTATACAGGTGTATAACATTTGGCTGGGGTATAAGAATCTCTTTATGTTCTTTTCGATTGAAGTGTTCAGCTTGAAAAAGAGGGAGAACTTCATAGGTATTGGTCATCACAGTTACAACAGAATTGTCATTCCATCGCACAACTAAAACTCCGAGGATGGAATCGAAAGCACAAGTGTAAAAACCTCTTTCTTTTTTAACAATTTTTTTTATTATCTTCAACGGGGCATTTAGCAGTGCGATTCTTCCTCACTGTTCCTATTTATGATGTACTGTTTGGAACCTTTGGTGTAGTAATGAATATTACTGGAGTTTTTTCCCCAACACCAAATCGTTATTTTTACACCTCGACACGTGTTTCGATCACCAAGTGATCATCTTCAGGAGGAAGATAAAACTGTTTTATCTTCCTCTTAAGATAAAACTGGAGGAAGATAAAACTGTTTTATCTTCCTCTTAAAGATGATCACTTGGTGATCGAAACACGTGTCGAGGTGTAAAAATAACGATTTGGTGTTGGGGAAAAAACTCCAGTAATACTCACTGTTCCTGTTGCGAAAAAGCCTTTTTCTCTCAAGCTCACAAAAAGAATTTCGCCGGCACATAAACGACATCAATCGAATGATAATTTTGTTAATCCAACTCTTCCTCTGATAAAGCACTCAAGTTTTGCGTCGTCAGTGCTCTCTTCATTTTTCATTACGAAAACGGACTATAAGAATAAATAATGATAATGAAATACCAAAATCTACGCTCGAGTTATGATTCTTACCTCATTTTGACAATTTTTCATAAAAAATACAAGAAATCTCCCCTGCTGATACTGATTCGCACTGAAATAAACTCAATCAAGGCTAATAATCAACTGACTATCGTATCCTGATATTCCCAAACTTGTCAAAACTCGCATACTAGTGCATGAAAATGTTCACCATTATCGGCCAAAGGTGTGTATACGCAACCATCACAAATACATGCAAAAATGTACGACATCCGAAAATATTTACGTAAATGAGAATACACGTTATTATTCAGCATATTTTTCATTACTGTTCAGCACAAAATGAATTCATCATTCAGTATCGAAAAAAAAAGATTTTATTGGAGTATTACAAGGACGGTCAATTTATAACATTTTCAAATTAATTTCAGAAATTGAAAAAATCATGTTTTGGATTGAATGAAAATATTTTTGAATTTTTTCTGGATTATCATCATGGATATTCATTAGATTAAATAATATCGATCCAAACCACAAAAAAAAAGTGTACAGGAAAGTTGAGTTGACGCACCTTTGGCGGTTAATAGGTTAAAGTATGCAAAAAATTTCCCCTGCCAAAAAACAGAAAAATATGCAAGAAAATCATAATAGTGAAACTCACGTTAGTGTTTTCGATTCTTCATATCCCTCGGTATTCGGTAGGAAGCGGTTGAAGAACTCTGACTTAAGGGTTCTCACTGTAAAATAGCCTTGTATTGTTTTCTTGGATTTCTCCAAGCTCATTTTACAATTCAATAGTGATGATTTAATGGCATCATTGTTGAAATCTGAAATTGAAAGTATGAGTTTCGTCAAATTTGATTGAATCATAGATATCCTAGCATTGACAATGCTTACAATAATGAGCAAGAAGTTATATGTGTATCATTTAAAATTAGAGAGGAAATTGATCTCAACATGTATGTATCATTTTTTTGATCGGATCGTTACGTGTAAAAAAAGTGGATCCTGTACGATAATAGGAGGCGATCAGGACAGTGGTTGGATACCAATGAGCCACCGAGGCCCTTCCCAAAGACGATAACCCACCATTAAAACATCATGATTTTGTCGATTAGCCCTGAATATTCAGAAAATGTTTGGTAATTTTGAACATAGAATACTTTAGGGATTCAACTTGAACTAATTATTACGCTTTGTAAAATTTACAAAATAAGTTGTAATGGTTTATATTTTATATTAATCTGAATTGAATGAATTTTGATTTCGATACTTTCGCACAGACACCGCTCTTACAAGTTACTCATTCATCACTGTTTTTCCATGCCGGTATATTTTTGGAGGCTGAAATTTTGTATGTGAACTCGTTTTATATTGTAGCAATAAAAATGATTTTTGAATATTCCAACTGGGGCTCCTGCCGCGGGAAAAAAGAACGCGTCCATAAAACGAAATAATTTTTCATCATCGTTTTTCCATGACCTTGAATTTCCTGTGCGGAGCCGGGGCGGCTCGCTAGTATACAAATAAATGAGAGAACACGAGCGCTTGAGTATGATAACCCTCTGAAACATAAGGTGAGGCACTCGAATGAAGAACTCCATGAAGAAAAATACACATAATGTTCTCAATTAGATTTCTTGCTTCTCAAATCCAAAATTGAAGGATGTCATTCTACATCGAAGTATTTCATTTTTGGAGAATGATTCACCTTTCAGAAGCTGAATTGTGACTGAAATAATGATTTACAATGTTTATTATTATCATTTCATGAGTTATATTGGTTTGAAACTGAATACGACTTCATATGACGGGGGTTTTTATTCAAAACATACACGTGTATCAATAAATTGATGGATGTAACCGTTACTATGTGGTAGGAGATCATGATGAAAAGAGAAATGAAAATTTCTATGTTTTTTACCACTTTTATTTGTAACTAACCTTACTGCATTTTCGTCCTATATGGACATTTTCAAACTTAAACAATAAACTAAGAATGATTCATTACATTCGCTAATATAATCAGGTACTTGATTGAGTATCTGAATTTACAGTTCACAATGCGCATGTGCCAATTTAAAAACCGGAGAGTAAATTAAATCGATTTGGTCATTCAACAGGTTGCACCCGCAATGTTTATGCTTGTGAGTTTCCAAGGATTCTAAATAATTGAGTTTTCAACCCTTCCTTGCATAGTGCAGAATTTCCTTATCGTTTAGATTCGGAAACTTGTGGTTGCATGCCAAGGAATGGTTTGAAAACGTCGAATCATTTTTTCCCAGTCTGAAGGACCTTTCATGTTCAGCATACCGTTTTTGGAAATTTCGTCCGCATTGTCCCACATAAACACTATTACACTCCGGACACTTGAGCTTATAAACTCCAGATTGTTCCAATTTGTCGACCTTATCTTTGGCATTGAAAAGGAAATGAGATGACCTGGCATGTGGTCTGAATGCTACTTCCACATTGTTTTTCCTGAAGAAACCTGCGATAATTCCTGTTTTTTTTCCAAAATATGTTAGCGTTACCCATTTCTTGATTTCTGGTTGTTTGACTTGAGGATATATTAATCTGCAAGTGAATTTCCGGCTTTGCTTCCTAACTTCTGGATAGTATCTGCGTTGAAACCGTTATTATGACCTATCATCTGTATAATTGTACCAATTTCTCTAGCTAGATTGTCTGCAGACGAAGGCAGTGAGAATGCTCTGTGCAGCATTGAATTGTAGGCTGCTAATTTATGAGTGTCTGGATGGAAAGAATCGTTTGAGATGGTGATGTCTGTATAGCTAGGTTTTCTGAAAACATTGAACTCGAATTTATTCTGATTGTCTGTAATGACCAGGTCTAAGAAATTTATTTGTTTCTCTATCTCTGTTTCGAGTGTGAACTGAATGTTGCTATAGAGATTCTTCATGAATGTCATAAATTGGTTCAGCTGTCGTGTAGTACCTCTGAAACAGGCAAGAATATCGTCTACATATCTGTACCAAAAATGAATATGTTTTATACCCAGGTCGGAGTTTACTATCTTGATCTCCAAGTTGTTCATAAATATGTCTGCTAAAAGTGGACTAAGGGGTGAGCCCATTGGTAAACCTGAATCTTGTTTATAGAATTTGTTGTTGAACTGTAGGTAACTCTGATTCAGGTACACATCGAAAGCTGTTGAAACCTCAAAGGAAGTGATATGGTCCACTTTGGCTTGATCTAATATGTTTAAAATGAGGGGTTTACACTCGTTGTATGGTATGTTGGAGAATATACTCTTTACATCGAATACTAAAATTGAATTATGTGGCGTGGTTTGGTTCCTTATGTTTTCTACTAAAGTCAGTGAATTTTTAATGCTGTGAGGTGGGACGAAATTGGTAATATTTTCGAACAACTTGTTAAGACGTATTCCTAGTTCTCTTACCGGACTATTTATATACGAAACTACCGGTCTTATGGGGTTATCCTCTTTATGTTTTTATCAGGCTATACAGTTTAGGGCAAGAGGGGTTCATGTTGGTGATTCTTCGTTTCTGTGATTCCGTGAAAATTATTTTAGTATCTAAGAGAAAATTTTTCAGTTCATATTGACTATTTTTCGTGGGATCTTTCTTGATGACAGTGAGGTTTTCATCTCGAATGACTGACTCAATTTTCTGAACATATGCTTCTCGTTCAAGGATAACTATGGCATTCGATTTATCAGCTTTCGTGAAAACAAGATCATCATTTCTTATTTCTTGTTGTATAGTTTTTATTATGCCGGTTTCTCTACTGTTTGATAAAGAGAATGGATGGTTCAGAATAACTTCATTTATCTTGTGTGCCCCTATATCTCTATTATCTGTCTGTTTCAATGCAATAGCTGTATCTGTTATCGACGTATCCAAACACGTGTATCATTGCTTATTTTTTTCTACAGAAAATAACATTTTCCGTGATCATGCAATGATTTTCAATTCACACAGATTGGTAGTTTTTTTGGCAACAATTCGTGCCGCGATACTTTTAAGATAAAATATATCTGAAGTCAATGCATATGCACTTTAGTAATAGCACTTTAAATTGACAGAAAATTATAACTATCATACACATGAAACAATCGTTTAAACAATCAAGTAAAATCAAGAAATATTTACATTTCGAAAAATTACCGCTTATCTTTTTCCCGCAGTGAACTAAATGACAACAACACTATTTGAAATAATGATCGATTGCACGTTTCCACATGTATTTTATGCATAATGCAGAATAGTTAACAGGTTGAATTCCATAAGTTTGGACTTCCATTGTCTGATATTATATAAAATGATTTGAAATCCCTGAAAGAACTAATGAAAGAGGAGAATTAAAAATGAAAAGCTGAGAATAATAATTATATTAAACAAAAAAATCTGAAACAAAATGATGATGAAATGAAATACAAGTAAAAATAGAACAATTGAACAAAAGTAAAAATAAAAAAACATTGAAAATGAAAAGTTTAGAGAGTCTAAGCCAAGTTACTTCACGACACTTCAATTGTTAGTATCCACAATTGTCTTCGGACTGGACTAATTCCTTGGAGAGATGACTATGGTTCATTCGAGTACTTTCACTAATATTTGCTTTCCTTTCTCCGCTTCACCGGTTTAGTGGAAGATGACCGTTTGACGGGAGTTGACCATTTTCCGCTTAATTATGGGTTTCCATATGAATTTCCTCCTGAACCTATGTTCCTCCTTGTGATGATCTGAACTTGGACCACTCTATGTTATGTTGATGGATCCAAACATGTTCTGCTATTCCTGATTTGCTGGTTTCCCCTCGCTGTGTGTTTCTTGTACTATGCGAACATTCAACGGCCTCTTAGTTTCACCGATATAAAATTTTCCGAACTCACAGGGTATTCGGTAAATGCAATTCTAGGAAATGCAGTCCTCGTTTAGTGGCCTGGGTTTCGTGAGGCTGCTACAGATAGTGTTTCCGGATCTGAAGCAGGTTCTGATGTTGTACTTGGATCCAATTCTTCTTATCCTTTCCGATAATCCTCTGATGTAGGGAAGTGCAAGCACTCATTGTGGCGGCTTCTCTTTCTTGCAAGGCTCCTGCTGGCACGGGTAGCAAAGGGCTGTCCTCAGGGGAGGGGTTCTAGCCCCTCTGTTATGGAACCTTGTAATGGACGAGCTACTATGTATCTCGGACCATAATGGGTAGAAAGCACTGGGCTATGCAGACGACTTAGTCATCTTAGTGAATACAATAACGTAGTGAAGGGATGCATGCAGCAGGCCCTGAACATTATAACAAGATGGACCGAAGAAGAAGGGCTTTACATAAGTCCATCCAAATCGACCATAGTAGCATTCACTAAGAGAACTAAAACGGAAGGTCTCGGAACTCTAAAAGTTCGAGGTGAAGAAATACAAGTGTCGGGGGAGGGTAAATATCTGGGAGTAATCCTAGATTCCAAACTGACCTGGAACCAACACTTGGACAGGATAAAGAGGAAAGCGGAGGTAGAACTGATGCTCGCAATGGAAAAACATGGCGGCTGAAACCATACATGGTATATTGGCTATACACGATGGTGGTTGAACCCATGATAACATACGCATCTCTGGTCTGGTGGCCAAAGATGAAGCATCAACAAACTGGGGAAGACACAAACACTTGCATGTTTGAGAATGACGGGAGCAATGAGAACTACCCCAACAGCTGCATTGGTGACACTCCTGAATCTACCTCCTTTGTGACAATGGGGGAGGCCAGGATGGGCCAATTCAGACTGGAAAACTCACCGAACTACAAAAGACTGGACCGAACAGAAATTTTGGAACAAGTCGAG